TCACTTGAAATCCATGGCGGCGACTGTCTGCCGTCGGCTTTTTCTGTTTGCCGGCCTTTTCTGTCCGAGTGGCTGCAACCGTCTGTTAGTGAGATCAAGGGGTCCGGGCCGGTCAAGCCGGCACATAGGGCTGGTACATAGGTAGGTTGGGCCGCCAGGCCGGAAAAAGAAAATATGGACCTCTCAGTAATGATGTTTGATGGGCCCCAATGGCCTCCTATGCACTTCCTCAGTATCACAACTTGGTCTTACAGCAGCTTGCGGAACATACTCGCTATCACAAAAAGTGACCGGAAATCGGGTTTTTACAGCATCAATTGTAGGATATTTTTGTTCCAACTCAATGTGTGTCTTCTTTGGGTTATTTGGCCGCCCTTAACCTGAAAGTTGGCTTCAAAATCCGTGAGTATGTGCTCAGTAAATGGGTTATATTTTTTGCATGTGATTTTGTGTCAGATGGCCAAAAATGGTCCAACATACAGTCACTTACAAGTATTAACTTGGTGGAGAGTCTCGGGGGCAAATCTTGGGGATGCCCTACATGTTCTAAAGCCTACATATAAGGTTGGGAAGCTGATAGATAAATGAAAATAGGTGAAACATTCAGCACATCAAGTCAGCAAAATCTTCGAACAAAGTATCATCCTATTTAGCCTAAGAATTTGTGCCTGAGTGCTTTAAAAATTTATGAGGGCACTCGTGACGGTCTATTTCACTCATCCAGGACACCACTTTGGAGGGATTAAGTTTATAATGGGGGTTTATCTGATGCATATTGATATTTTGTGTTGATCTTGCAGAACAGCTTGCTGACTTGTTCCTTCAGGGTATTCAAGGTTTTATTTTTTTATTTTTTATTTTTTTCGGTGGTACATTATGCAGGAGCAACTAATAATAGGTTAGCCCGCCTGTTTGTAAAGTATGGAATATTAATCCCAAAGAGTGGCTTCCACCACCCAGAGAAATGCCTTATGCACGCCCGAGGGCAGTGTGGGACTCCGCGCTACCCAATACCCTGGCTATTATTTTGCCGGTACGGGATCCTCGGTGGGAACGCGCGTTTACCCACTAAAACTCTGGGTTCACGCAGCCAGTCCACAGGCAGACTCTGTTCATCGTCTAATATCCCAGACCATGTCGCAAGGACCAACTTCGAAGGAAGTGCGGGACGCTTTTATATTCGACACGAATGCCATAGTATGTGCGTTATGGAAACATGGAATCTAAGAAAAAGGCCCTCATTGGACTCCTCACGGGAGATCCGACCTCGCCGGTCCTCTGGAACTTGTTTCTGGCTGATCTAAAAATGATGCCCGACATGGACAACACTTTCTGGCTGCTCTTCACGTCTCACGGTACCAAAATGGGTCACCAGTACTCGACCAGATGATCTTCACTTTATCCTGAATTTTGTGGTCTTTGGAAGAGTCGTGCTGCCGCTAGGTTGGGATTAATGCAGGAGAGAAAGACAACATTGCTAAATTCTCCAATACTTAATTGACTCCAAGTGTGCGGGCACAGGCGGCTTGTTATTCTGGAGAACATTGGTGATCAGAGACGTGATAGGTGAATATTTATATGGATGCAACACTGTATGGAATGCATGACCAGCAACATACCCATTTCATGTTTCATATATTTGCCGCAATCTGAATCCCCATGTTCACTTCATGAACCATCCGCCACCCCGGAAATTGGGATAATTCCTCTTCGGGTTCGAAACTTCTTCACTCTCTTGAAACGGCTCATTTATACAGCTGTCAAGACTCACATTTCGCTGCCCCATGCTAGTTTCAACAGACATTCCCTTTACCAGAATGTCAAGGAAAAACGACAGCAGATTGGTGGGCATTAAGGAATGGTGTTGAAGGAGTTAATTCGACTCGAATGACAAGCTCTTCTTACATCTGGACTGCTTGAGTCTTTTAACCTGGACGAATATTCCGCTATACCCCAACACCTGCAAATCTTATGGCGCAACTGACCGATACAGAGGTTTGCTGGCCAGAGCACGGGGTATCAATGCGTGTATGATTCTCCAACTTGAAAAGATCCGAACTGTTCCAGTTTCGAGTTTGTTTTGAGGTTCTCATTTTCCACTAACCACTTTTCCATGTTTCCTTTAGTTCTACCGCGGCGAGTTGGAGGACTGCGTCCGTGAGCTCGGCTACGGGGATATGGAGAAGTCCAGGGACAACAATTTACATAGTGCCTGTAAATTTCGATAATTCCTGGGCCCCGGCGTTCCTCAGCGGGACCGTGCCGTGTAATTCTACCTACCTACCTACCCTTGCGCGGCCTATTGGCCAATACTTTATCCATCTGGAGCCGCTGATTGATTGCAAACTTGAATTTATTTTCTATCTCCTCTGCGGGAGCCGGCACTCCGTCCCGATCAATGACACGCTCATTTCGGAGCCTCCAGATAAGGTACGCGGATTCGGAAATCAGGATCCTATATAACCGGCGCGCGCCTTGGTCAACCTTCCCGCGGCCGTCACGAAACTCAGCAAGGCCACAGCCCAAGATGGTGCCGAGCGACACTTCGGGCCATGCAGTTGCTCTCTCCAGCCAGAGGGTTCTGGCTGCCGCCCATATTAGCTCGCGTCCGGGGCTCTCGCACCGCACGAGGATGTGGTCGAGGTCTTCCAGTTCGCCGCAGTCCTGGCAGGTTGCCCGCTCCTCGCATTCGGGAATGTGCATCCAATATGCACCAATCTTGTGGGCATTATGTACACCCTTCCATATGAACTGTGCTGGCCTCGGCAGGAAGTCCCTCGCACTGACGGATGTCCAGATATCCGCATCTGAAACGTGTCTCCCGAAAGCCTCGCACACAGCTTCCCGGATGGCCTTCAAGTTACGCTCGGTTGACGCCCGAGGGGCTAATTTCTTGGTCTTTTCCTCGCGAATGCCTCGGTAGAAAGTCTTCTGCCGATTGTCTTGCAGGCTCAAACCCGGGAGAGCCATACCTGGCGGGATTGTCATATCCCAGTTTGCGGTGGCCTGGCCGCCCGCAGCTCGCTTAGCTAGCCTAGCTACCCGCTTACACGCTTCCCGGGCAGCGGTGCCAGGTTCAGCCACCTCAAAATAAGTTGGTGCACTCCGGGCCTTCAGTTCCGCGGCTAGGCATCGTAGTACATCCCGGTTCTGCACCCCCACCCAGCCTTCGTGCTCCCAGCGTCGGAGTCTTTTGGTCATGGCCTCCCGGATATACGGTTGGGCACTGTATATTGTCAGCGTCGTGTTTCCACTCACGTTTCGCACAGCCGCCAGAGCGGCGAAGAATTCCGCTACATATTGTGACTGATCGCCGTCGGCTGGGAGGCGTCTCCCCAGTTGAGCTTGTTCGACACCTTTCACGATGAAAGCGGCTGCCGCCGTCGTCTTTTTCCCGGGTGGTGTGTGTATCACACCGGCGACATAAACCACCGAGTTTTGTGCTACCGTTACTCTTTGGGCTCGCCTACGGGTCCGCTGGGCGGGACGCTCTACCGGCTCTCCCTCCCGACTTGTCATTGCACGCAGACCCTGCGAGAGGCTCGTGATCCGCGCCGGGGGCACAAAAATGCTGCCGTTCTCGTCGTACTCTACCGGCTCCGCTGATCCCCTTTGATCTCCCGGACCGGGAACCCATCTAGGATGGATTTGCCGCAGACGGGAAGCGGCCTTTGTTGCACAGGCGTGAGGGTTCTCGCACCCGCGTTCTTCCCGGTCCTCTGTGCACCCGTCACAGGTGCAGGTGGCTCGACCGGAGTACATGGGGTCCATCAAACGTGTCGCTATGTCCACACCGTCCCCCATCTCCAATGCTGCATGATTTTTCCTCAAGCATCGTGCCTTCTGGCCATTATTTTCTTGCCGCATTTCGTTATCTTCTCCGGGATGATGCCACAGCGGCATTTTTCTCAATATCTCCGCAGGCGGGTCTATCGCTTCGAATCTGACTCCATATTTATTTAGGCACTTCACCAGTGGCCGGTGCAGTGCAGGTGGGTCCCTCTGACTAACGGGGAAACGTTGTATCAAAAGGTTGGTCCTCGATTCATCGTCCATCGAGGCGGCTTTGGTAACGTGCTGCGCCAGCCGGTGGAGCGCCAAAGAGGCCCAGTGCGCTCGCTTTTCAGGGTTTGTTTCTGACAAGGATGCCGCCTTAAGCAGCAACAGGGCATCGTTCCGGGCCTCGAGATCGAACATGCCTATGCCGCCGCGGTCGCGGGGCGCCATCAACATATCTCTGGACACCATGGACGACTTAGACTGGTTTATAAATTCTTTCTGTGCCTTGAGTATGTGCTTCGTGACTGCGGGTGGCATGCCGTTTACCTGGGCCAGGTATTGAGACCTAGACCCGGCCACGATTTGTATTCAAGGTTTTAGCTGTCCAAAATTCGAGAAATATGCTTCAGAACTCATTCAATAGTTGACCCACTGTCAATTGGGTCTCAGGTTGTCTATTTGAGGCCCATCTTTCTTGTAGATAACAAAATGACATAACTGCCATCAGCATCTCCGATCTCTCGATAGCTTTAGTCAGTTCCAATGAACCCAGACTTCCAAAACGAGTTGGGTTATTTGCGGGTGGGATCCTAAGGTATCTGTGAATGACAGGTGGTGCAGCTTGGTGTGCATGATCTATGGCAATAAATGCATTTCCGGTTACTTTTTGTGATAGCGAGTAGGGTGCGGCCTGTTTTTATTTTTTGGGTCCGTTTTCAACAATGTGATCGGTGTCAGCTTAAATCTTAGTCGATTCTCTTGAAAATATAACCAATCAATTCGCACAGTGGGATCTCGGGCCTGTATTTTAACTGATTATATAAAGGTTCTAGTATTTGAACCAGAATATAAGTCAATTCCCCTTTGGAGAGGTATTACATTCAGTAACACCAATCCACGCAACGTGATCGCGTAGCGCGCGATACCCATTTTCATTACAGTACCCCTAGGCTGTTTCTAAAGTGTTGACATCAAACCTGGTTATTACCTTGATCGCAGGAGGGCCGATGGTGTAGTTTGGTTTATCACACCTGTCTAACATTGTTGGATTGGATTGGATTGGATTGGATTGGATTGATACACGGCACGGTTGACTGTGAAGAAAGATGTTCACAGGCGGTCCTCAGTTCGAACCTGGGTCGGCTCATTTTGTATTTCTTTTGTGCATTGCGACAAGATGCACTACCCAACAGGATTATTCTACACTTGGGGAAATTGTAAGGTCCGGTAATATCAAGGGGAAACGGATCCCCAAGAATCTTCGAGTCACTTTGAACTTTTACGAGGGCCGCCCGAGGTGATTGGGTGAAGTGTAGGATTCGAGAAAAATAACTAACTACCCGTACTCTTAGCTACTTATATACCACATTAATGAGTCACAATGAGTCACGAATAACTTATGCATGGATGCGTCACCAAGGTACGCATCTACTATCTTACACTCGATACTGCGCACATGTCGCAGCATTACGCATCAACAGCGCCGGCCCGCACTGTCGGATGCATTCGGTCTCCATATCCGTTACAAAAACAGACTTTAATAAGCACATATTATACATTAACGTGATACCGTTCTAGACAATGATTTTATGTAGGTGTAGACAGTGATTTTATGTAGGTGATTGATTTGGACGTCCATATATGATCAACCGTATATGATCATTTTACAAAGAGCCCATCATCTAGTCCAGAAATAACACTTTGCTTACCTGGATTCCACTCTTATATGATTTAAGACTCGTTATGTTCCACATCAGTAATTGTCCCAGATATGTGACCTAGTGACCTACTTCCCGCTCCGCCGCTGTTTTACAGCGCCAGATTCAGACAAACAGGCTCTGCAAACCCAGTTGTTTGGCACACTGCCTCTTTCCAAGCACGCGAGATGATACTGAGGGGAAATAAGACACTGGCAGTGTCCAAGTCGTCAGCCGTGGAAGCCTATTAATAGGCATCAACATACACGAACCCAGCCTCCAGAATCCGGAGCGCTAAAGTGTCGTGTCGTGGACCTGGATAAATTTTTGCTTGATTTCCTTGTAATTACAGAATTGTTTGGGGGTGATGTGATGCGAGCAAAGGCCAAATGAGGTCATTGATAAGCCAGTGCCACCCATAAATGTCTAGATCTCAAACAAGGTCAGTAAAGCATTTGGGACATAAAGAAGGTTGTGAATGTCTTCCAGAGCGGTCCCTGGCACCCAGAAAAATATGTACTGGAAAAATATTTTTGGTCCTCACGGCCCAACCAACCACTCGGCATCCCTTCCGGCATTCACGGACCGGCACCCTTGGGTGATGGAGAGGGCAAACAGCTTTTCATCACATAGAAAGTCTTCTCCTAGGTTCTGAGGCTGCGGGTTAGTCATTTAATAAGTAAGAAAGTCGAGCAGAATCTTTGTCTTTGAGGGCGCTCGGCGCATCAGCGTCGGCGCTCGGTCATCACCTTGTCTACGGCTCGGAGGTTATCCAGTACTCAACCCTTATCCGCGGGGCCCTTGTGAATCTCCAGAGGATGACCGAAAGGAGACAAATCCGATGCCTGCACTTCAATAAAGACTATGATGTAAAACACGACCGGCAACGCCAGGGCTTGACGCCGTGTCCTTGTTGCATGGCACAGGCCCCGCGAAGCTCCCGCCAAGGTTTATCCGGAAATTTGGCTTTTTTGAGACCGGAATTTGACGATTTCCTTGTCCCAAAGTTGGCTTTTTGAGGTCAGAAATCCAAAACCCTTGTCGCAAGTTGGCTTTTTCAGGGCGAGGATCACCCCCTGAAGACCAAATCTCATCCACATGTCATCATGGCTGCTTCGTGTAGTGGTTCTGTGTGCCTTGCTGCATTTTCAGCACCTGAGTTCAATTCCCCGTTCCCTTTTTGCGGCCCATTTTCGACGCATTTGAACGTGCATGCAGCATTTTCTCGGCCCAGGGGTCCAGTGTAAAAGGTGGTGAAGAAGCTCATGATAAAGATTAAGCCTTAGATCGTGGCCAAGCCGGCACGCTGGAATACTGGTGTCAATTGGTTGAGAAATGAGCCCGCAGTACAGCGGGGAAATCTGGACATCACGTTTTCTCTCCAAATTCGGCAACTGTCATCAAACAGCCGCATGCACAGCTTCCACATAAGCACACTGCCCCTTATACATTGCCTCACACCACCATCTCATCCACCATGTTATGCCAGCAGGAGGTTCCGACAAAGAAAAGAGAGAACAATTCTGGGAAGAATGGTCTGTTCCGACGTCTCCAGGGCACCAACCGCGGCACGCAGAGCAAGTCCTTCTTCGTCTCGCCATACACAGCAGGCACTGATCATGACCCTGTCGCTGGCAGGTTCTGAGCAAAATAGAGTTTCCGGTCCGCAAATGGGAACCCTCAGGCAATCTCATGGCATAAGCAGCGAGGACGACGGAGAAATGAGTGGTACGTCACGCAACTAATCTCAGTTGCGCATTCACATCTGTTGACCCTTCGTCGCAGAGATTCACGGTTTAACCACGGGCAGTGAGTTCAACCATGGTCAGACATCTGAATTCATTTAACGCACCTTCAAGGCGTTTCACCGGCCGACGCATTTCCAAAGACATTAAAGATCTGCGGAAGCAAAAATTTTGCGAAAAAATCAAGGTCATCTGGCGGGGCCTGTACAAATTGACCCAAGCAATCGAAAAGATTGCGCCGCCACCTGTCGACGCCGCTTTCAAGCTTTTTAATGCTGTTTCCGACGCGGCACAGGTACGAGTTCCTCTGGAACATCTTTCGCACATGGTCATGTTTATCCCTCAGAAATATTTTGATAACGAGGAGGAACTGAAGGCCGTGATGGAACGGCTCACATCTCATCTTGTTGAGGCTAATCGTGTTCTCCTCTGGAGCGACGACTACGGCATCGATGTCACGGAGAGCAGCACGAAATTTGCGGGGTGTGTTGCACAATATATGTGTTGTACATAATGTCAACTTACGTCTGCAGGCTAGTTGTTAATGAAGTTCTCAAAATCGACGAGATCCAGCGTTCGTCTCTCGCTGAGAAAACGCTTGGGCAAGAAAGCATCGCCCAGCAAGTCAAGAAATGTTTGGATCGCCTGGACCAAGGCACGCAAGAACACTACGTGAGTAGAAGCTCTCTAGCATTACAGTTCGCTCCTCAGAGCTCCAAACTAGCGGACAGTCACTCAAGCTATCGCCAAGAGCGTACGCAAGGTATTGGAGTATACAGTGGTCAGTCTCGGTGTTTGAATTCTGATCTGCCTCTCATCGCAGACATGCTCCTCTCAGACCTCGCAGTTATCATATGCTTCCAATGCACTATTTAACGCAGCTGGAAAAGCTGGCACGTCGTCGAGACAGCCATGCACGCCAAATACACGCGAGAATCTGCTCGACCGCCTTGAGGCTTGGGCACTGGACGTTGGGGCGCAGGACAATTCCGCCGTCTTCTGGCTGAGTGGCATGGCCGGTACCGGCAAGTCCACCATCGCCTACACGCTCTGTGAGAAATTACGCACTTGTGGCCGCCTGGGCGCGTCATTCTTCTGCTCCAGAAACGAGGAACAGACTCGTTCCCGTAAATTTATCATTCCCACCATTGTCTGGCAGCTCATATCTGCTTACAAGCCCCTGGTTGACATTCTTCGTGATGTTCAGCTTCCTCTTCTTGATCCCGTTGTCAAAGATCATATCGACGAACTGCTGGTTAACCCATGGTCCGCAGCATGGCAACCCAATCGCCAGGCGCCACTAGTAATTGTCATCGACGCTCTCGATGAGATTGAGGACAATCAAGGTGCCGAGTTCATCGAACAACTCATCAGCTTGCTCTCTCGGACGCCGCTGCGCGGGCTCAAGTTTTTGCTCACTAGTCGCCCTCATCCTGGTATCGTCAAATCCTGCCGACAGCTCTCTGCGCGCTATTGTCTCGAAGAGATCGAGCCAAGGGAGGCAAAAGAAGATATTCGCCGCTTCCTGTGCAAGGAATTGCCGCATCTCGAGAAAGACCTCTGTCCCGTCGTCGATGAATCGGCTGGCATCTTCATTTATGCTGCGACGGTCGTACGGCACCTTCGCCCACCCGGTGTCCCTTTGACGGCAGGAGAACAAAAAGCGCGCCTCAAGCGGCTGCGCGAAGTTGGGTTTGGCAAGGGGATCACAGCCGACGAGCAACTTGTTGATTCTCTGTATGAGACAGTAACTTGCGAAGTGTTGCGGAATCCCGGACCGGAGGTCAAGACTCCTCAACGTCTTCTATATGCAGTCGTCACAGCGAACCACCCTCTTACCTGTCAAGCTCTTGCTTCCCTCGTTGTCGATGCTTCCGAGGAGGCTGATGAAGATGCAATGAAGGACAATCTTGACAAAGTCCAAAAGACTCTTGATAGCCTTTATGCGGTGCTCTATGTCTCGGAACGCGACAACTGTGTCTATGCATACCACAAGTCCTTTGATGATTTCATCCTAAACCGCTCACAGCTTGCTCAATCGGCCACCGCTTATTTTCCCAACCGCACCCGGGAGTGCTTCGACATTTTTAACAAGGCTCTCCATTTCAACATGTGTAATCTCAGATCTTCGTATTTACTGGATGAGGAGGATGAAGGGCTCGTTGAGCGGATAGAGACGATGCTTGGGCCCGAGTTGCGCTACGCCTGCCGACACTGGGCCGTGCATCTCACGTCAGTGCGGCACAATGATCAACATGTGAAGGGACTGGCTGCATTGCTTCTGGACTTTAGCAAGTTGAATGTGCTCTTCTGGATGGAGGTGATGAACCTACTTAAGGTAGACTGCCGCCGTTCACTACATCAAGCCCACAGCTGGTCCTTACAGGTATGCTCCCAGTTGTGTTATTCCATGATTTAATGCAGAAGTAGATCCCAGAGCTGAATGAATACTTAAGCGCTAGTCAGAGGCTGTGGGCGTCGTTTTCAGCCGGTGAAGCTTCGCGCTCCACGCCACATCTCTATGTAAGCAGTCTGACAGCAGAGCTCGCAATGTCTGAATCCTCAACTCTGATGGAATGGCGACAATCTTTCCCTGGGTTACCTTTTATGGAGTGCAAGGGCATCGCCAGGAGCGCCTTGCTGATCAGTGCGAGGGCACACGCTGGCTTGGTCTTGTCCTTGGAGTGCGCAAAAAGTAACTTATG